CTCCTTCCCTTCAGAACGATAGAAAGGCGGAGTTGCTCCACTTGCCGCTGCCCACGTTGACGGATCTACGCAACGGGATTGGGGGACTCTCTATGGCCTCATGCACCAGAATATCATCCTCACTCACTATTACCTCTAGCAGTGGGATTTTTTAATCAAATTCTGCTCGGTCGATGCTCTCGGTAAAGTTAAGTCGTGATAGCCAGGGGAAATATATGACTAGACAGAACAAGACATCTTGACCGAGGGCTCCTTTGGGTCAGAACTCATGAAGCTGATGCAGTAGTCAGGTACCATACTAAACAGATCAAGTTACCAAAGCAGCGACAGGATAGTCAGTGTTTGCGAATTGGGGGTTCAGAGACTCGTATAACGGCGAAATTAGTAACACAATGAAATACCAGATTACCGAGGTTTCTTTGTCCCTGCTTTGTCCCCTTGTCTTGCAAGCGATTCATCACGTTTGTACGGAGTAGCCTTGATGAGGCCCCATAACGAAGCACAACGCAAAGTGGACCTCGGCGATCATGGAATGGGGTCAAGAAACAATGCAGGCCCGTATATGGTCCTGACAGCGCTGATCATTCAAGGCTTTAATCCATCAGAATGGATATCATCAAGGCAAACTGCATCTTATGATAGCCTACCTACCTAATTAGCCTTGCTGTGGGTGATCTGAATGAGACATGGGCTACTGTGACGGGAGTACCCTAAAGTTTGCGAACAATATCTTCTAGAACACACAATCACAGCGTCGATCAGTTCTTATCAACGGCCTGGCTGAACCTTGTTTTTCTGCTTAGGGGTTCATATCATTACTGTCATGATCGTCCAGCAAACTGGCTACGCATAGTCAATGGCCGACCACCCTCCAGATACGATAGATTCAAGTCGATCAAACAAGGCAAACAAGCCTCTCTAATTGTCTTGCTCTGTAACTCACTTCATTGCTCTAGACTTTTCAGCCGCGGCGTTGTCAAGGGAGCGATCTTCATACAGCACAGCCTCCGCCCTGTTAGAGTGACACACGTGCGTTAGTGGCCCTCTCTAGCCTCTCTATCATGAATGCCTCGCCATGGCGCTCTAGTGGCACGTGTCTGCCTATATTGATCTCCGTCATGACAGAAGTATGGAAAGGATAAGACGATGCAGGCGAGAAAGACTTTCAATTGACAAGAAAAGCACTCTTTTCACCAACAAAGCGATGTTATCTCTCCCAATCCATACCAATCGTAAGCTCATAACCGTTCGTTTACCATTACCATCATTCCATCTATACCAACCTCTTTCCATCCTCCAGATTCTATCCCATTTTGCCCCAGGCCTTGATTTTCAGTCCACTTCAGGCGGCCTTCATACTTGGCACGGCAGATTTGGCCTTTCCATTCTTTTCCGCGGCTGCTTCCTATATAAACTGTTAGCTGATTCTCAGCCTCGAATCGTGAATGGCCCCACACTTACCTGCTGCTCAATCATTCTGCGTCCGACATCAATGGTCTCATTCATACCTCTCTGGCGTTGCCAGAACCTGTGACATCCATTAGCACATATGGAATCATCATTTGAAGTCCACTTACGTCTCCTCGGGCGTTCCGTGACCTCGGATGGAAGTCTGTCGGGCCTCCTCCTCCAAGGCTTCGCGAGTAATCTTCTCACTGTGGTCAATGCCTGGAACTGAAGACTCTTCCGAGGCACCTTGGCCAATGTTCTCTTCCAGAAGTTTTCTCTTCATCAGGAAACGCTCCTTGCGCTCCTTCTGTACGCCTGGACTGTCCAACTTGCTGAGAACAAAGCGGACCGCCAGTTGGACAACCAGGTAGAAATGCTCAGCCAAAAGAATGCTAAGCAGCAGACCCCAGGCCTTGAGAGGTGATGGTTCACCATGGTTTCCGTTACCTCGGGCGCCGCTGCACAAGTACACAATAGCAGAGCTGGTGATACTACCGAGCCAAGAAATAAAGCTCAATGCGGTCAACCAGGGTCCAATTGAGTCGGTTCGCCATGGGATTGGTCGTCGGCTGCTGGTGGCAATCTTGAGAGCATCGGATCTCAACTCAACCCAATTGTTGACGAGGAAACAACAAGCTGCAAGTGGCCAAGCGACCGAGAACATAGAGACATAACCTATGCCCAAGGTCAGATATTGAGTTTCACAAACATTTCCAACGTCAGCTTACCGAACTGCATGACCATCTCACGGTAGTCTCCCGAGACATCGTACGCCTCGAGAGCGCTCTCCTTGCGTACACGTTCAAGGAATTCGGCTTCCTCTTCGTGATCGTCCTGAACCTTTGGCTGGGACTTAAGGGCCTTGGCTTTCTCAAGCGCCTCTCGCTTGAGGTAGGGTACCACAACCTCGGTGGCAAAGTTCACGATCTGAGCCGTGACTGTGAAATAAAACATTTGGTTGCTAATTCGAGCAGGGTTAATTTGAAATTCCCTTGTCGGGAGCGGCTTCTCGCTGAAGGTGACAACCTGGGCTGACCTTCTCCAGAATTCGAGGAAAGGTACCAGGACATGGCCGAAGGGAATGTAGACGAATGCTGTGAAGAACAGAGCCATATAAGAGGTCATGAAGTTGAGGACGAATTGTTTCTGGATGAGAGCAGCATCATGGGCTATAGAGATTAGCTTCGACTACGGTTGAAGGATTAACATCCTTACCATCAACAGTAGCATAGTTCTCCATTGAGTTCAATTTCTCAGCAGCGCTCATGAGCAGGCTGGAGATAGTAGGAGTACCCAGAACCAGAAGAATGGTTGGCAAGAAGCCCTAGTAACCAGTCAGTTATGTTGGCGAGAGTATCCGGATCAACTCACCAGATATTGCTTGCCAGGACCATTGTAGACTTCATTGATGAAGACCTCAAGGGAGTTGCAGGTCACAATCAAAGCACCCAAAGCAAGAACACAAGCCAGAGCAAAGGGGATTTGAAGTAATTGAGTCTTGATGCGCTTCATGGGCTCATACACCTTAACAACTTCGCCGGTGACAGGGTCCTCAGCTTCACGATCCCACTCAAACTCAGGTCTCGCCTGCTGGATATTGGACACACCCCGGACACCCCATTGCACGGCAAGGTCGACCTCTTGCTTCTTCCAGTACTCGAGGAAAACAACAGACCAGAGACCGCAGAGCAAGGTATAGAGAAAAGAGAATTGGCCGAGCAGAAGCCATGCAACAAAGCCGAAACCAGAGGGAATGACGAGGAAGCGAAAGTAGGATCGCAGGAAGGCGAAGTAGAAGGCAACGCTTTCACCAAACTTGTCTCGAATGTCGTCGATGTCGCTCTGCTCCAGGATATACTTGCTGCTCCACTTCTTGATCCAATCCTTGTTGAATTTGTGACTGTGCAGAGGAAATATGGACTCGACATATTTCCACTTTGCATTGGACGGAGTGATTCCAGCACCGCCTTCGTTACGTGGCTTCGTTATCATGAGGTAGATCAAGCGCAGGCGCTCTGCTTCGACTACGGGCTCATCGTGAAGGGCTTGTTTGACGTCGCTATGGGGGGCTGAGACTCGAACGCCGTGCAGCCAGTCGGCAAGGCGGGCGCGGTAGACTTGCTTCGCGAAAAGATCGGGGGAAGCGACTTTGACAAAGATGAGGAGGGAGTTGTTGTCGCCGTGGCGAACTTCGGTGGCCAGACCAACAGTGGTGAGGGCCTGGATGAGCTGGACAAAGCCGGCTTCAGCTTCTGCGCGTTCTATGGTGTGTTAGTTGCGCGAGGGTCACTGAAGAGTATTATTTACCTAAGGGAGGGACCTTGTAGTGAATGACAAAGTCGACGCTGGACTATGTTAGTTCTGCTCGATTGAATACTTGTGTCGTGCTAACCCAAAGTTGCTTGTCTGACTCTCGTCGCCAGATTGGCTGTACAGGTCCTTTAGATTGGACATATTTAGCAGAGGTTGACCATATGCTACAAGCCTAGAGGTTGAAGGAACAGAGGCAAAAGAGGAGGGGAAGGGAGGGAGGAAGAAGTTCTCGACACAGAAACGAGACAAGACAAGATGAGACAAAAGAGCAAAACAGGGAAGGGCAGGGATATGAATACTGATATGCAGTGTATTGAGGCATCCAATCCAATGAGGTTGGGTCGATGACGATGGGTACCTACTGTACGGAGCAAAAGGTTGGAGAAACAAGCTTTAGTGAAGATCCTAGCCCAGCTGAGGGGAGCTTCAGCTTGCAGCTCACTTTCAGTGCTGTAGTGGGGAGATTGGCACATTAGGCGACGTCACCGCACATTTTGGCCAAGACACCTTACCTACGATGGGTCTTGTGTGCATGGCAAGGATATGACAGAATTACCTTGATTGTATATATAGTAGCTGCATAGGTATAATACGATGATTCTCTGAAATCACACATATATACATACTGACAGAGTATACTGCTACTCTTCATCGATGCTTTCTGCTCCATTTACCACAGCTCGCTCACGAGGTTGCCGTATGAAGATAACTCAAACTTGGAACAATGCCAATGGCTTTCACATGTCGAAGAGTTGGATGACTATGACGACCTTGTGGGTGCCCCTTGGAACTTCTCAATGAGGACAAATAATTTATCAAGAGGTTCAATCTCAATGTCTTTCGTTCATTCATTCATTCATTCATTCATTCTACGCATGCCCTTGATATCAACACTCGGTATTTTTTGTTCTAGATTGTAACCTCCTGGAACATCTTCGCATGGGCAGGCAGACGTACAAGTAGGGAGTAGGGATGGGTGCTGTCAAGCTAGCGTCACTATGGGGCCATTGACAGCTGGGGCTTTCGTCACCACCACCTATAGCTCATACCAGTATCCGTAGCTAGCTCATGGTCACTCATCCAGACTATTCTTACCTTGAGCTATCACAGCTACAGCTCATCAATAGCTATAGCTCTCCACTCACTCAATCACTGAGATATCTCGACCTTTGCCTCTCGTCCAATTGAACTCTCATTCTCAACTCTCCCAGCTCAAAAGGACCTCATACACGCCCATCATGGGCCTCCTCTCCTGTATAGGCCTCCGTCGCCGGAATCAATGGGAGCCCATGACTCTCCTCGACAATCTCATCTCATCACCTTTAACATATCTCGCTTTCCTCTTCTACCACGCTGTACTCCTCCTCCGCGGTCGGCCCTTTCACCCACCGCGTGACAAGCCCGCCATTCGCGTCGTCTGCATCTCCGACACACACGATCTCAAAGTCGACATTCCCAACGGTGACATTCTCATTCATGCAGGAGACCTTACAGATTCCGGCACCGTAGCAGATATCCAGAAACAGCTCGACTGGCTTCGTGAACAGCCCCATCCTGTCAAGGTCGTCGTTGCAGGTAACCACGACAGTTGGTTTGACACCAAAAGTCGCCATGAGGAAGATGCACGCTCAGGTGCTAAGCCCAACATGGAGGGCCTTCATTACCTTGAGAGCGGCTTGACTGTGCAAAAGATAAAGGGTCGAACCGTCAATATCTTTGGTGTTCCGGATATTCCAAACATTGGTCCCAAGGAGTTTGCGTAAGTCTATAAAAGACCCAGCTATACTCCGTACCGTGGCAACTGACAAAATGATGCTCTTAGCTTCCAATATACTCAAGATAAACAGCCTTGGTTGAGCAAGGTACCTCCGCAAACTGATATTCTTATCACACATTGCCCTCCGGTAAGCCTCTCCTGTTCGAATATCGTGACTTTTCAACTTACATACTGTTAGAAATATCATCTTGATCTTGGTCTTGGGGACAGTAATCTCCTCCGTGAAGTTTGGCGCGTAAAGCCCCGTCTCCACGTCTTCGGCCACGTCCACTTTGGCTACGGTAAAGAATCAGCCTTTTTCGATACCTTCCAGGAGACCTACGAACGTATCATGTCACGGCCTCGTCGCGGTCTGATCCGAGACTTCATCCCTAACGAGATGTGGTTGGAGTATCTGCGTCTTGTAGCCCAAGGCCTTCATAGCGTGGCCTGGAAGTGGCTGATGTCAGGCCCTGGAAGCAATAAAGGTAGTCTCATGGTAAATGCGGCGCAGATGAAAGGCAACTCGGGCAAGGTCAAGAGCAGGGCGGTTGTTGTTGAAATTTGAAAGGCCAAGCAAGCAAGTTGAAAGATTCATATATAAGGTATGTTTTCACTTCCGATTCAACCATAGACTCCGAGAACTCAGTAGAAAAATATAAAATATCATCTTATTGGTATTATCGTGCATTAAGCTCTAATATGTCGTGGCAAACAAAAGGAATATCGACTACCGTAGTTAGTTGAACAAACATGTACCCTTTCCAACCATAATCAAACATGTCTATGTTTTTGTATATCCTGTACATTTCCTGTATTAGGTCCCCATTAAGAGAAGAATGAATGAAACAAATATCAAACCAATACCAAAAGCGCTTAAAGAGACAAGGCCAGAATTGCCATGGCCACAATCGCAAAGTAAACGAAGAAGTCATCCACTCTCGATGAGGCACTAGAAACCACGGCTGGCGCACCCGATGCGCCCGGGGTTGGTGTAGCATGGGAAATCGGGGTTATTGGCCTTCCTGGAGAGGGCACAGGCAGAATACTCATCGTCTCAATGTCTGATACAGTAAGGACAACCGTGCGTCGCAAGGTTCTTGTCTCAGTAGAGACGGAGTTCGTTTCCGTGCCATATGTGACCAGTTGAGTTGTCAAGTATGTTATCACGATCGTCGTTACTTCAGGGCCAGCATTTGCTTTGCCTCCCATTCCGGTTGGCACAATAGGAGGAATCTCTCGTGTCTGATCTGGGACGACTCCTGCAGCCGCATTGCCGGTCGCCTGTGTTGCATTGGTACCAGCACCAGTGATGGTGACGGTGACATGGACGGGCACAGTCAATGTGACTGTATTTTCACCATTTGTACCACAGCCGTCGCATTCAACGACCTTTGTAGCCATTGCTGGCTGAATCAAGGTGGGAGTATCGCAGTAGTCACACAGTGAGTAGCTCATGGTGACGATACTTTCTTGAGGTACGAGTGATCCGGGGTTCGTCGGGAGTACTGTAAAGAAAGTGATCGTGCTTGTGATAACTGTGTCGTGGATCGCCTGTGTTGCTTCGAGAACGTCGCCGCTAGACAAAGTGCTGAGAACTACAGCGTCCGCATCAGTGCCAGCTACAACATCGGTGACTGTAGCAGTGTCGACAACCACTCTGTTATTAGTAGCCCCGGGCAAGTCATCGCCTGAGCCAGCTTGTCCATTCGCAGTTCCTTGAGCAGAATTTCCTTCTTGGCTCTCTGATCCAGTCGAGCCATCTACTCCATCAGCAGGAGAGCTGCCTTGACCACTTCCACCGGTTGGACTTGACGAGCCACCAGCGGCAGCAGTTCCATCTACACCGGGGCCCATGCCAGGTGGGACATCAGGCTGTCCAGCGTCGCTGGTGTCGGCATAAACTGTGAGCAGGGTGTTGTTGGGAGCATCTCGGCGGAGAGGAATGCTTCGTTTAGACCTTTGGGCGACCATGCCGCCACAGAATTGATCGTCGTTTCCAGGACAAGGGCGATTGCATGAAGATTCGTTGCGTAAAGCACGGGTATCAGCGTCAAGCTTGGAGGCACAATAGCAGGTTCTATAGAAATAGTCAGTTGAATGTCGCTTCGAGTTTGGAGCAGAGCCACTCACCCTTCAAAGAGACCGATATAAGTCAGGCCGTTGCAAGCTTCAATGCACTTCTCAATAGTCATATCGTCACTCTCGGCTTTCTCATTAAAAGTCTGGAAACCAGTCTGTGATCCGAAACAACCAAGGTATGCATAATCATCAATCTTAGCTGGGTTGACTGAGCTTCCGCCCGTAGCAACAGGAAGAGAGCTGACAGTTGCACTATTGGTACCAGAGCCAGGAATTGTCACCTCAACAGAAGATATTCCTGTCAAGGTAGTTGTAGTTGTGGGTTCTGCTGTTGCAGATGCGTCTTCCTTGGGCCGGGGACGGGTGACGATGGCTGTGCTGTTCGGGAATCTAGTGTTTCCTGAGATTGGAGCGTTGGCGCCAGGAGTGCTAGCTGAAGGGTTGGAGATATCTGTGGGTGCCTCACTGATCGATGATGGGACAACAGGCGGGACATCTCCTCCCAAGCGAGTGTAGACATCAATGTAGCTGACATCAAAATAGGCGTCTTGGAAATCCAGAGGGTTGTTTGCGACATATTCACGACAAGTTGGGGCGAGAGCTCGACAAGTTTCAGAACTTCTCCAAGTTCCCTCACCATAATCGCCACAGAAGTTCTAGAAGTCAGTTAGTTCGAGATCCTCTGTTCATTGGCGTGGCTACCACGTACAATATTCAGAACAATCCTCATATCTTTGAAATATTCGTCAACGTTGCACTTTGAACCACCAAACAAACTCTGAGGAAGTCCCCATTTCCTAGGATCAGGTCGTTTGGCTTCGATATCAGCCGGAATTGCGCCTCGTGGGAAGTGCCAAATCGAGATGTACTCTGAGTCCCACTCCATAGCATAGACACCACCACCGACAGCGTTGAAGCCATCACCATAAGAGGAAGTGTCACTGGCGGGCGGCGTGAAGCCACATCCAACATTATCTGTACCAACAGCACAATCCAAGCTCTGGGGTTTTCCAGAGAAGAGATTCGAGTCTGCGGGGTCTAGCATGCAGCCATCGGCCGTGTGTGCAGACATGATATTAGTGTAAGCCAAGTTGGCGCCCTCAAGGATATCAACTTCGCCATTGTTGGGCCAGTTGGCGCCATATGCCCAGACTATATTCACCATGTTAGTTCATCTTCAACTCGAGAGAGAGACTAGAAGAGCGTACAGGCTGGCCAAGTACCACATTGTGAGATAGGCATGTGTTGGAAATCTGCGATGAATAATCCATGCTGGTAGGACTCCTTGCTTTCAAGTCGAACACTAGGTCTTCCTTCGTCCAGACCAAATTTCCGAGCGGAGTCGGGTCTAAGTCGAACAGTGTTGCTAAAAGGATCCACGGAGTATAAGCCATATTGCTCGGCACCCTCTAGGTCTTGATATCTGTTATGCTGTCAGTAACGAAAGGAGCCTGATATAGATGAGTCTTTCTCACTGTACGAATCCATTCGAAAGATCACGGCCATTGAACCAGTCGAAACCAGAGATGAGAGAGTCTCCTAAGAAGGAGGTAGTTAATGAGTATGCCATCGTAGTTCACGACGGATATGAGAACAAAAGACAAAAGTAGAAGAGTTGTCTGAAGAGTGTGAGTCGTTTCATGTCGAAAAGCCGCGGGCAGCACTTCGTCTTTTAATTCTCTACGGTCCATTGCCTTACTCGGCGAGTACCACCCGCATATGGAATTCAGTAGTGGTTGGCAAACGTCTGAAAGCATACGCATTCGAGGTAGTCAAGAAATTGTGACGCTATCCTAAGACACCACGAGATTCTATGCTGAGCCAATAGCATCATGAGGGGCAAGTTGGAGAGAATGCAATGCTTTCCATCGACTGTGCATTGTCTGCAGGCTGGGATCGCATTTCGCCTTGGGGAGCATGACGTTGATCTCTTTGTACGCCATCTTATACATTCCATTTCATCGGCTCTCTGGCCAGAGTGTGGCTGGCCTCTGAATCGCCTCACGGCGGCGGAGATTAAAGTGAGACATTGAGCGGTTGGCGTCGATGATAGCGTGTCAACGCAGGTAAACCAGACGTTGACTGAAACATGGAGACGCGCATGCATTCCAAAGTCGAGAGATGCAATTACGATAATGAACCGCATTGAGATGTAGTGAAGCTGCTTCAATTAAAATGGTGAGACATCCAAGTCTCCTGGGTATCGAAAATTGCACGCCAACACTTTGAAAATCTCCAACTCGACGCATGCAGTAAATCATACTGTAAATGTCGACTTCTCTATACCATTATCCGCCTTAAGCCTTCAGTTCCACCCAGAACCCTTCTGCCTGTCACTGCGCATCTCCCTTGACCACTCTCCCACTTGCCCTCGCGCGACTCCATAAAATCCTCTTGTTTCTGATGCTGGCCCTCGATCCATTTGTGGATACAGGTATAGCAATAAACGACGCCGGTTTGACAGGCTGTTGGAGTGACGATCTCATCGACGCAAATAGGGCACAATGCCGAATCGCTGGGAAATGGAATCGTGTAGACAGGGAGCAACGAGGGAGTGGCGATGGGTGCATCTTCTGCTGAAGGGATTGAGTCTCCCTCGTTTGACTCCTCTTTCTTCACTTCTGGCTTCTTCTTGCTGGAACCTCCCTTGCCATCTGCCGAAATCACAGGCGGGGGCAAATCAACGCTTTCAGTCGCTTTTCGTGAAAGTTGCTTCGCAAAATCCGACTGATACCACCATTCCAAAAACTTGAGGGCAAAGATACTTGTCGGTAACAAAATCGACAAGCTTGACAACACCCGTGGGCCCATTTCACGGGGGTTTAACAACGACCGCCACCCAGGTCTGTGTCCTGTCTCGGGTGTCTGCGTCAAAGCCTCAATGGCCTTGTAATCCGCACCAGACATTCTTCGAATACGTGTTCCTATCAGCCACAAGAGAGGGCTGTGATACTTGCTCCCATCGAAGAGGTATGCCACATTGAAAGCAAGCATGGCAAAGTAATAGCCGGCATTGACGCTTGGGTATATGTTCCTGAGGAACCATCGGTAATAGTATAGGAATCGGTCACGAAGGGTCGGGTTATCTGGCATTCGCGTGTATGCCGCACCGAGAAGAGCTCTTGGCGCATTCACCTCGTAGCTCTCGTCAAGCTTCCGTTTCAGGTAAGGGATGCCAACGATGACGAGCAAATTCTTCCAGACGTCCCGGGTCGTGAGTTTCAACGTCTCGCGCACAATATCGGGCGATGACATGCTCGCGCGTGGCACTTCGGCATGGAGGCCCTTTTCGCGCTTGAGGCCATAGAAGTTCTCTGTAAAGGAGCCGCCTCGGGTGCGCAGGTAATGCCTCTCAACGAGAAGCATGACACCAGCATATATCTCATCGAACGAGTTTAGTATTCTTAGGAGATATCGTGGGTGTCGATGCGTCGCAATGGTGAGTAGGTAACGGAGGGTCGGCGGGAGGAGGGCATTGAGCTGTTGCTCGGAAAGGACTTCGAAGAGAGACGGCTTCTGTTCGTCGAAGGTACCCCGAAGGGCCGTGACGAACTCCATTGCCTCTGGGATATGCCTGGAGGATACGGGGGATGGGTAGAAGAATGACAATAGACGGTGATGAATTCAAGGTCGAGAATGAATGGAGATCAGCTGCGACAGGAGATCTTTAGTGGAGTGGAAATTGTTAGTGACCCCGGATTACTGTGCAGCTGCGATAACGGGTGAAGTGGATGCGCCTACGACATCAAGCTCGGGCTGGCTGGCCGATGGAAGTGCCTCGGCTTCTGGGGTCATTAGCTGAAAAAGGCAGTAACCAGCATCAAGGTTAGCGTTTACAACGGACCGAGGTATCATCAACTGGTAAAGTATTCAATGTGATAACTAGGTACCTACCCCGGATTTTAGCCCAGACCATCTGCTGTCATTATTCATAATTCATCTTGATTCGGTGACTGCAGCTTCACTTGAGTACCTTACAACAACTAATACATTAAAGACCAAACAACATGTCCGACACCAACCCAACAGACAATCACCGCAAGACCTTGAGAGAAGGCAGTCCAGAAGAGAGAGTCAAAGCCTGGTTACAACTTTCACAAAATGATAACGGTCATTCCAAGCAAGGAGTAAGTTCCTCACTTGTTCGAGTTCGCCTCGGATGCTGAAGATGAATGACCCTAGGATTGGATGAATACCCTCATCCCTCATCTTCAGCTCGTGTCCACCAATGCTCAAGGACCTCACCCTTCATGTGTATTTTCATATACAGTCCAGCCCGACAATTGCAACAGGCTCCAGAACCTGCACGGAGGTTGCGCGGCCACACTCTTTGACTGGTGTACGACATTACCCCTTGCTCTGGTGAACAAGCCTGGGTTCTGGCAGCATATGGGCGTGAGCAGGACACTTAACGTCACTTATATGCGGCCTGTGCCAGTCGGAACAGAGGTGTTGATTGAGTGTTCGATTACTCAAGTCGGGAGGAAACTAGCCTCTCTGCACGGAAGTATGAGAAGGAGGTCGGATAATGTTCTCTTAGCCACAGCTGAGCATGGGAAAGTCAATATAGACGAAGATATTAAGGCCAAGATGTAGATACACTTCTACGAGTACCAGAGATCATATAGATTTATCGTTGGGTGCTAAATACCATGAACTTGATTTTGCTCTAGGGTAAGCTTATGAATGACGAACCTAACACGGCGCCCCCACACAAGCTCCGCACGTTAAATCCGATTGTACTCCGTACACGCCGCTGGAAGTAACGTCAGAACCCTTTCTATATCGTCATTACATGGCAGCCTCATTTCAAAGATTCACATCCTCTCACAGACAACACAACCACATCAAAGGATTATTCAAACCATGGACGCCCCAAACGCTGCGGCACCGATTCTGCAGCTTCCAGCTGAAATCTTGCATCACATACTACAGTGGATAGCCCCAGCCGACCTCGTTATACTGCCCCTCGTATGTAAGGGCTTCTTTCACATAACGAAAACGAACCACAAACTATATCGAGATGTCTATATGAACACGCTGGTATGTATTCCCTGGCGGTTCTCACAAATACTAATAAACAGTTCAGGATGAACCAAGTGACCCGAGCCTTGACTACGAGCAAGAGATTCACGACCTTGTGAAGCTTGAAAGTATATGCAATAATCCAGAGGTAAGACAAGATAAGAAATCCCGTGTTACATTTCGATGTAAGATCTAATGGATGTAAAGAAATCCGAACTCGAATTTGTACACGACACAGTCACTCGTCTGCTCAAAAATGCTTCACCTTCTCACGACGAGGCCATCAACCTCTCCAAGACCCATGCGCCATCGCGCAATGTCGCTCACCTTCAAAGTCTTTTCTCTCGAGACGACACTGCCGAGGCCTTCCTCCAGGGTTCATCGCTTTTCAACCGCCTGCGCCGTCAACCCACGCGAGACAGTATCTCTGCGCCCACCTCATTTGATGACGGCTACAGGACTCTCCAGCAAAAGAGCGCCCATCTTCACTGCCTTTATTCAAGGCCCATACTCAACGTTGGCCGCCTACGATCTATGAAGACGTATCCCTATGCCTGCTCCAAGGTCTACGACTTGCGCCAGTTCACTCAGAACACAGGATGGGGGCCATTTAAAGACGACGGCACTTTCAATGTTGACTGGGAAAAAGTGGAAGCTATTCTCATTGTTCTGGGCCACAACATTGGCGCAAGACGCCAGATTGCACGAATATTCGCTGGGGTTTGGGACAGCCCGTTCTCGGGTTCATTTCAAAACAGTTTTATGGCTCCTCCGCCTCGTGACATTACTTCACTCGAGGCTCGCGACCCTTACGGAGTCACTGGCACATGGTACCGCGTTCGTTGACCCCAGGATACTTCCGTGTCCATTTGCTTCTCCCACGCAGGCCAAGCTGACAGATAAGGTTTCAGATTGTGTGCTTTCTTGACTATAGCGATTTCTTCGCTTTCAACTTTGGCGACCCTGAACTACTCATCACCTCCGATGCACCGCGCCCACCACTTGATGTGGGTGAAGCAACTCGCATTATTATGATGAAAGTCAATGTCACATCTATAGAAGAACCAGGCCCCGATGACGGCCAAGAGCTGCCAGTAGTTCACTTCCAGGGGGTCAGCTGTTCCTTGGACGATCAGTTTGACGATAATGCCAACTCAAATATCCGAGGTAAGTAGAGTGTCTCCCTTCCTAATAGTAAAGTTGAAAAGGTTCAGCCGGAGCTAACATGAGAACATTCAACGTCAAAGGCACTGCTCGCCTGACAAAAGAAGGCGAGGTGAGATGGACAACGTTCTCAATCTTCCATGGAGTCGAGCGCTGGCGCAGTGAGGGTGTTCAGATCGGAGGCGTACGCTCCGCTCGAGGCGTCGTAGGAAACTGGTTCGATAGGTACAGCACCAAACACTTACCTTCTAGGAATTGACTAATACGGGGTGTAGTGACTACGATGTTCACGGGCCTGCCGGTCCCACAGCCTTCTGGAAGGGCGCGACCCTTGCACAAGTCGCAAACATGGAAGACGACCTTCTGCCAAACGACTTCTTCTTGCCATACGGCGCTCTGATCGACATAGGTTCTGAGACTGACCCGGAGGGAGAAATGCCGTACACTGGCGAAGATGACGAGGACGAGGATGACGAAGACGAAGAGATGGAGGCAGCAGCAGGAGAGGAACTGATGGCTCTACTCCAAGATGCGAATTTACCTTTAGAGGAGAGCCTCGCAAATGGCCATGCTCTGGACTGATTCATCTTGATACAATGGCGTTCGAATTCAGGAGTTGACGAGTCGGTTCACCCTTATCTTGACTTTACACAAAGAATTGGAGCGATTTTCATCTTAGGACATTCCGCTTGAAAACCATCATATTGTGCAAAACGACACTGGGGTATTCTAAAATGCAAAAGCAAGAAGCCGCATACTCCATCTAAGTAAAACATGCCGTTCTGAATCCATCATATCTCATACCAGTTGTAAACCTTCTGTATCCATGCGCCAATATCCTTTTATATCCGTCGTAAATGCTATTCATCCTCCTTCAAAGAACGAAGGAATATCGTTCACTTGCCCTCATAGGCATAGCCCAGCAGCTCGTGCAACTCTTAGACATTTTTACGCCTGCCTGAAATGGGGAACTTAGCACAATCATCTTAGTCAATGGTTCCGCCTTGGTTAAGGATAATGCAATTGCTTAAGAGAGCTGATCCTTCATGAAGTAATTCCCAACGTGTCGTCTTAAAGCTTGTTAGTTACTGCTCAGCCTTGAAGCTCAGAAAACATACCTGAAACGTGTCTTTAAGGACCATGAGAAGGGCTGTATTGGCGTTGACCCCTGATCGACCTTGGAGTGCGCCGGGACTGTCGATGCCACCAAACTTGATAAAATAGTTCCTCATATGCTGCAACTTCTCGTGCCTTGTGGTAGGTAGTGGAATGTTGGGACAAGGTCCCTCGAGCGCGAATCCATAACTCCAAACAACCAGGGCAGCGAAGTACATCACCCAAGGCCGGTTCAAGAGAACATCGTCGCGGGCGTCGTAAGGCTCATCGAGGTGGTATCCGCCCGCATGTGCTGCAGATACTTGGTCTGGAGCAAGTACTGAGCAGAGGAACTTGATAGCGTAAAAGGCTGCATCTCTCGCCCTCGCGGAGTGAGCCCAGTGGTCTTTGATTCGCCTTTGAGCACTATTAAACTCTTGAGGCCCAATCGTTCGACCAAGTAGACGCTTTGCTCGTGCAAACATTTGGCAATCCACGATATCAGCATGCATGGCCATGTGCGCCAAATGGTGCAAAACTGTGCGACTTTCGAATACGACGTTGAACTCCTGCCTCTTAGTAGCGTCGTCTCGATATGGGTCGGCGGCTTCGCTTCGTTCAAGATGCTTGTCAAAATCAGCTTTCCAAGTGTCGTATGCTCGAGTGAGCGTAGCCCGCCAACGATCACGACCACCAAGAGCCTGGATAATGCCGCCACCCAGGACATTGACCTGAAGATCACGCTGGTGCATGTGCCATGAGACGCTTAACAGGCCTGTCATGAGCACTGTTCTACCGAATGATGTCGTGTGGACATCTTGACCGCTCAAAGTTCTCTTGAGGCCCTCCAGGAATGAAGTTGGCTTGATGCCATTTGACATTAAGTTTGATTCAATCCTCCAAACTTCAGAACTACTGCCGGCTCGCCACATAGACTCGTCACAAGGAAGAGGCAGTCGCATTTCATGAGCTACCATGACTGCCGAATGACCAAACATCGTTGCATGGATCGAATCAACAATGAAGGCCGCGAATGCTGCACGCCGGGTTGCCTCATTTGTGACCCAATGCTCCCACCATTTATCAGCTGTTCCTGTCGAGCTGGACGTGGAGGACTGCCGGGACTCGTTGGATACGTCACGAGGGTTTGGCGGAGAGTCCAGTGCAGATTTGCCGATCAGAGATCGTCCTCGTCGCATGAGAGTGATAGTGGTCGCATGGTGAATGTGGGCCCGTTCGTGGAGTTCTCTTGTTGCAAACATCTTTTCGTATAATTCCAGGAGAATCAAAGCCTGGAAAATCCACAATTTAGCAGGCGGCCTGAAGCTAACGTCCATGAAGATGTCCCAACGAAGATGCCAGGCAAGAAAGTTGGAGAGCTGGGCGCTTGCTCTCGTCACATTGTGTCCATGGGTCCTGTCGAGGCAAGCCCCTCCGATGGCCATCATCGCGAGGAGCAATAAGTTCGGTGTCTTGTCAGGAGAGAAAGTAGGCTTGTGAAGGATAGGCATCTGATCGCTGAAGTGATACCAATAAGAGCCGATGTAAGCCTGCATCATCCTCTTACTCAACATATGCTCGCCATTTGATCGATCACCTTCAAGCAGGTCGGCCCATTGACGATCGGGTGGAGCATGCTTGTTGTCGTGGAAGCGTTCTTTGATAAAGTCGAATAGCTCTTGACTCTTTTCCTCAGATATCGTGGCTTCCGGAACTTGTTGGTCAAGAAGGTTGTTGACAGCCATTACCTGCTGAGGAGCGCTTGGAAAGTATCCAAGTGAATTGCTATCTGTACCCAGAAGATTCATATTAAATTGATTTCCTTGCAATTCCGCATAACTAGTTACGAGTTAGTACGAGTTCCTTTATGTTTTAGGAATTACTGACTTCGTGTAGTTCGGACCCATCACTGGTGTCATGGCTTGACTGGGGGAGTTGAAGAGGTAAGCCATAAAGTCCTCCGGCATCCCAACGTAAGGTGACTTGTTCATATCACCTCCCTCTCCGAAGACAGGAACAGTTGCCGGCATGGCCATCTGATCCAGCATCATCATCTCGCTAGGCTGCGTGGTTCCTGGCTCTGAATATTCCGCTGAAGTCACTACAGTAGCATTTTGTCCGGTGGGGTACTGAGCCGGAGGGAGGGTCATAGGCATAACGTTTTGCTGGCTGACAAAATTATTCTGCGACATGTTCTGTTGATTTGGGAACCCTTGCTGATTCGCAATTGGAGACATCATGTTAAACGGCGTATTGCCGGCAGACATAGACGGCCTTTGCTGAATTAAAGGAGATTGTGGTTGACTGAGTTGTGGCGTACGATTATCATAACCCTGGGTCGGGGACATGTAACTATCCATTCCATTTGGCAGAGCTCCGTTAGGGTACATGCCTGTTGGAGTATTGTTCATGGGCGAATATGGGTTAGGTGTTTGAACTTGTGGTGTCTGATAAGGCATATTCGTTGGCTGGTGCTTCGAGTAATCGATAGAATTATTCCGACTGAAATCAGGAGGTTGAACTTGTTGGTTTGATTGACCCGGAGCTATAGATTGTGCCATGATAGAATCTCTCTGGTTGAGTTGCGAGCCCTTCGCAGCATGTCGGTCCATATGCCTTTTGAGAAGATCTCCTCTGACAAAAGTCCGTGTGCAGTTAGGAAAGGTACAGTGGTAGGTCTGTTTAGAGTTATGGTTAAGTTGATGCCGGTACCTGTCATGTGTCAGCTTGGACCTCTGAGTGTTGCACAAACTCGAGACATACAGATGTTCTGCTCTTGAATAGCTCTTCCCACACCCTTCGGCACTACACTCAAACCTCTTATCCAGGCCCTTTCGACTCCGTCTTCGTTTTCTGGCAGGGCCAGGGCCGTCGGAGTTGGAAGATGCGCCATTTGGCCCATCTTGATTTCCTTCTGATTTTATAACCTGGTCGTCGCCGTCATCTGCGGGTGAGCGACTTCTTCGTCGGCCGCGACCTGTGGGATCCGAAGTGTCGCGAGGCGATATATTTTGAGCCCCCATTGCGCCGGAGCTGACCGGGGATATGGGAAGGGTCGGTTTCACGTTATTTGTTATAACGGAGGCCATACCCAATGTCCGAATAGGAAGCCTATGAAATCAAAGGCGATGCGATGTTTATGTTAGGAAAAAGACTCAGACAAGTCGAGCCGTGCTATAAAGCGACAGGCTAAGAATCCACCAGCCAGGCAGTGGTAGGCCAAGGCTCGAGGATGACGGTTGGTAATCGCTAGAGTCGCAAAGCGTGGCAGTTGGGTCTGTCACCGAGGATAGCGGGGTCGTGATGGCCGGGGTTCGCGAAGGTGGGACTGGACGGAATTAAATCGTATGTATAATTACTTTTAGGACCCCTACACAATGATGGGATATTGCAATCAACGCATGACCGAAAGGGAAATCGATGTCGTTGAGCTGGCGTGACTTGTACGTCCGAGAGTCGCAAACAACAAAAGATCGGCACGCGGTTAAAAAAAACCAGACTTGATCTTGGGGTCAAGCTAATGGGGTCAATTTAGAGCTGAACTGGTCCCTTAATGTTAGCAGCGAAAGACAATGAGTGTCGCGTGTTTTTGCGGCTAATATGGAGGATATTGACTGAGGTGGATCAAAGAAGACGGGCCAGCTTGGGGAAGGCCCGGGATGTGGGGACCATGACTGGAGACTAGAGACGGGGTGATTCCGAGAGACCATCTTAAAGTTGGTCAATTAGACGTTGTGAGTTGTCGTACCGCTGGCCTGTATATCTCATGATGTGGAGAGAAGATAAGATGCAGACGTGATAGTGGTCGAGGCGTTGTTGCGGCGCCGGGTGAGGCTTCTTCCTTTTGTATAAGGTAACCAGGCTTGTCTTGATGACTGAGTTGACTTGAGATCGTTGCTTATTTATGTGTAACGTTCGACAGGAACACGGAAGATTTGACTGATGATGGACAGGATCATCCTTGAACAAGTGTTTCGAGAAGGTATAATTCATCGTCTTCCGGTAGGCAGAGCAAAGTCGAACGACATACGGCAGGGACGGAGACAAAGGGGTTGGGCCCAGTATTGGATATGATCTAGCCAGTGGTAGACAACGGCAATCCCATGTTTTTTCTCGTGGCTCACATGCAATGATCCGATTCGAAGCATGTGGTGATTTCGTGGTACAAGTAAGTAGACGTGCCCAAGTGTGGTCCTTGCTGTCTGAAGTGGCGCCGTTCAAGGATGAGGATGCAGAGGGGCAGATGAGACGTGAACAGAGAGAGAGAGAGAGAGAGAGAGAAAGAGACAGAGAATGAGTAGAGAAAGTTATATAATTACCGACCTTGAGATGAGGTTCGCAGATGTGCAACGAATGCAACACAAGTGTGACAGAAGGATGCTGGAAGCCGAGGGGTTGTAAGAGAAGAGATAAACAGAAGACGAAATAACAGGATGAGAGCGAGGTACTCGACAAAGATACAGCCTGAGTTGAGTGACTTTTCTGGC